AAGACAGCGTGTGTGTGTTGGGGGCAACATGAGCAAAGGTAGAGATACAAGAAAACACAGCATATTTTGGAGAATGACTAGTAGTTGGATTTGGCGAGGCTGAGTAAAGAGTATGAACAGTAAGACTGGAAATGTAGGTTTGAGCTAGAATGGTAGACATTAACACATTTAGTTAATAAGCAATAAAGAGTAATAGAATGATTTTGATTTGAGGTGAAAATAAGATAACCAACAGCAGCAGGTCAGAAGAATTCTCAGGAGGCATGAAGTAGCAGAGAGAGAGGCAACTTATGAATGACAAGAAGAGATATGAGATCACAAGATTTGAAGGCTCTTCTATAACCAATGTATATTTATTGAGGGTCTATTTTGCCTGAAACATGTGACTGAGCAATGGGAGAAGATGGAAGGGAAATTATTAACCTGGTATGATGCCAGGGAGACATAAGAGGAAAAGGATGGTATACAGGTCTGAATTCGGTGAGTGAGAGTAAGGGTAGAGGAAGTAAGTAAGTGAAAATTGAGTAGGGAGTCCAACTGACAGAATTTGGCATGTGCTTGCATATAAAGAGCTGAGCAAGAGGGAGGAGTCTAGGAAAATGGGGGTCTCTAGGTTGGGTGATTAGAGACGTGATGACTTCATGAACTCGGAGAAAGAAGAGTATGGAAAGGAGGAGGGATGATGAGTTATATATTTTATCATTTGAAGAACCTGGGAAGACATAGTAGAATCTTGGGAATATAGGTCAGAAGCTCAAGAATGAGAGTTTTAGGTGGCATAAATGGAACTGACACCAGTTACGCCTTAGAGGATTAGGGGAACAGGGAGGACAGGGTTAAGCCAAAGCTAAGACGGACTTCAAAGTAGGTAAGCACCTGGAGTAGGCAGAAGTTAACTGAGCAAAATGTTAATTGCAAAATTTAGAGCTAAGAATCGAAGCAGAAAATCCGGTATGTTTTTAAATTCAAGGAGTTATCAAAACTTTGAGATGGAAAGCTCAAGGCTCAGGGGAATGCAGCAAGAGCTAACTGAGGAATGAGAGCAACAGCAGTGGGCAAAGTAGTATATATATATATACATACACATATATATATTTGCAGAACTCCTTTTAGTGAGAGTACTGTACTCGTTTGGAAGAACTACTTTTTTTTTAATTGTTATTTTTTTGAGATGGATTCTTGCTCTGTTGCCCAGGCTGGAGTGCGGTAATGTGATCTTGGCTCACTGCAACCTCTGCCTCCCAGGTTCAAGAGATTCTCCTGCCTCAGCCTCCCGGGTAGCTGAGATTACAGGCATGCATCACCATGCCTGTCTAATTTTTGTACTTTTAGTAGAGATAAGGTTTCACCACATTGGCCAGTCTGTTCTCGAACTGCTGACCTCAGGTGATGCACTCACCTCAGCCTCCCAAAGTGCTGGGATTACAGGCGTGAGCCACTGCACTAGGCCAGAAGAACTGCTTTAGGTAGGCAGTGAAAACTCCATTGGATTTAAGCCACTGTGTAGATGCTTCTTCAACGCCTATGTAGGAAAGGAGTGGGATTAGAAGATAGAGCTGGTAGGAGTTCTACTCAACTTCTCAGGAACCCCTTACTCTTACGTAAAGTTGGGGAGAATCATGAAATGTTTAGAGATAATTTCCTATAGAAACCAGAGGAAGGGCTGAATTCTGTCTTGGAGAGATGAAGCAATAAGAAGGATATCAGTCAGTCATTTTTATATTGACTTTCTATGGAACGATTGGGCTTTACTGTTTTAATGGTACAATCCAGAGAAGACCAAAATTACTAAAACCACATCTAAATTATTTAGGAGGCATGATTTTGAACCTCATCTCTGTTTGTTCATCCCACTCCCCACAAATCAATATGACAAGTGTCGAAATTCGACAGTTGGTGTATTTAGCTATTGGTTATAGTTATTTATTTCTCAAGAATGTCTTGTATGACAAGCAATCAGAAATTACACAATTGTTTTCAAAGTTTCCCATGATACTCTTATAACATGCATGCTTTGTTAAAAGAATTAATAATTAAGACAAAGTGAATTGAAATCAAGTTCATTTCACCTCCATGTTGGTACATTAAGAGGACAACTTTCTGTTTCTGTACTAACAGAACACTGTGTGCCTAAAACAGTGTTAAAAAGCCAAATCCTGATAGATCTTAAAATATCATCTGGTAGAGGATTTTATCAACAAACCAGAGGGCTTTGTAGGAGCCATAAAACGAGAGGCAGAGCAGCCCTTTACATCACTTGGCTGTCTTTTATTATTAACTTTAGGTAATTGCTCAGGATAAAAAAAGAGGGGAAACATATCATTCTCTCCAGAATGTAGGTTATCAGATAAGACTCTCCCCCAGCCACAGAACTTTGAGCTTCCTAAACGCGTTCCTTGGCAAACTGAGAACAGTGGGAACCCATAGCTATCACCCTATGTAGGGTGCAGTGTTAAGTTGCAAGGTGTACAGATGCTCCTTTACTTAGGATGGTGTGTCCTGCTAAACTCATCATAAATGGAAAATACACTAAGTCAAAAATGCATTTAATATACCTAATCTACTGACCATCATAGCTTAGCCTAGCCTAATTTAAACATTCTCAGAACATTTTTAGCATGGCTTACACCTATAATCCCAGCACTTTTGGGGGCTGATGTGGGTGGATTGCTTGAGCCCAGGAGTTTGAGACCAGCCTGGTCAACATGGTGAAACCTCATCTTAACAAAAAATTAACTGGGCATGGTGGGGGAGCATCTGGTGGCGCAGCTACTTGGGAGGCTGAGGCAGGTGTGGGTTGACTGATTCCAGATGGTCAAGGCTGCCGTGAGCCCCGATCACGCCACTGTACTCCAGCCTGGGTGACAGAGTGAGATTCTGACTCAATAAAAAAAAAATACTTTCAGTACAGTATTCAATAAATTATACAAGATATTCAGTACTTTATTATAAAATAGGCTTTGTGTTAGATGATTTCGCCCAGCATCAGGAGAGAGCATAATTGTACCACATATCACCAGCCTGGGAAAAGATCAACTTTACAATGCAGCGAAATGCATTCGGTAGAAAAATCTTGAAGAAATGCATTTCACTACATTGTAAAGTAGGAAAATTGTTAAGCTGCACTATTGTAAATCAGGGACTATCTGCATAAGACAGATTTATTGAAAATAAATCCCCTAAAATATCCTTTTCCCTAAAACTAGATTGTCTTCAGGTAATTTATAATCAGGTGTTTTCAGTGAACAGTTGTGAGACTTAGACTTGGACTCTAATGTACCATAATGTTGCCTCCTCTATGGGTGGTGGGTTTTGATAATTAGGCACTTGTCCAGAAAAGCTGGGTTTTGGATGAATATATTACTTCATTTGTTTCTAAATTCAGAAAATATTTATTATTTGCTATTGGTGGCAACAACAGAGAGAGACTAATTAGAAAGGACGAGTGCAGAAAGAAGATTGCAGCAAAGAAGACTAGTTTGGAGGCAGTTGTGCTAATGCAGACGCTGAATGCTTCTGTGGGACCGGGAAGAAGTCAGTCATGACTCCTAGGCCTTTCTGATGGCTTAGTGGATCTTGTAGCCATGTGGTGAGTTAGAGAATCACTGTAGACAATATTCCATTTAAGAACTGGTTATTGAGAAAGGCTCAAATTCTGAAGACTTCAACTTCTATCTGTAAAGATTAAAAGGTAAAGTGAGTTTCTTACCTGTGGCAAAAGAAACAATTGCAATGCAAAAATTCTGACAGGTACTTCAACTTCATTTCAATTTGATACGTTTGTGAAGTTATCTTGTATTTTCTACCACAGAGAATTTTAAAATCTGAGACTTGAAACATAATTTTCCTTATTGTAAATAAATCCCCCTAAAATATCCTTTTCCCTAAAACTAGATTGTTTTCTTTTTAAAATAAAAAAGGGGCTGGGTGTGGTGGCTCGTGCCTGTAATCCTAGCACTTTGGGAGGTCAAGACAGGTGTATTGCTTGAGCTCAGGAGTTCGAGAACAGCTTGAGCAACATGATGAAATCCTGTATCTACCAAAAAATTAACTGGGCATGGCAGTAGTAGTGCGTGCCTATGGTCCAAGCTACTGGAGAAGCTGAGGTGGGAGGATTGCTTGAACCTGGGAGGTGGAAGTTGCCATGAGCCGAGAAGGCAACCCTGCACTCCAACCTGGGTGACAGAGTGAGACCCATCTCAACACAAACAAACAAAACAACAACAACAAAAAACAAATGAAAAACTTCTTAGTATACTGAAAAGTATAACAAAAATATTTTGAAAAGGGAGGGCAATGGGTAAATTTTCAAAACCCTTACTTGCTGGAGAATAAAAAACGCTTTTTAATTAAAATGCACAGGACACAGGTCAAGATTTAGTGGGAGATCTGAATGCAGAATATGCGTTTTCCATATAAATAATAACGTCATTTTTGATGCTTCTGACTTCTCATATAGAATGTCTAAACAGGGACTTCAGTTAGCGATGCACGTGGTTCATATGTATGGGTTGAGCTGCTTATAGTAACACCATCGCAGGAAGGATAGTTGCAATGACATTAGGTAAATCTGATTGGGAGATAATAAATTAGTAAGGCAGATAATATATTCGCATATTTAACAATAGTCATAAAAATTGCTTTTATTTTTAATTATTTTTAGGGTAGTTTTTTTTTGTCTCTATGAAGTGGTTGGTTTATATCACTACAAAAATATGATTCTTTTGGAATTGACTATTTTAGCAGGGGTTAGCAGTAGAGCAGAGGCTGTTTATACCAAGGAATATTTCTAAATTCTGAAGTTGTATTTAGCTATAAGGTCTGTGAGTAAACTACTTAGGAATAATTATCAACTTAATTTAAAAATATTTGTTCATAGGAACAGGATAGGGAACATGTTAGTTCTGAATTTAATCATACTGATGTATGAGTTCTTCATGTTTCAAAACAGTAAGCATGAATTTTTATATGCCAATAAACAGTGACACTCTGGTGTTATCCAGGCAAGGTCTATATGCCTTGTTAACAAGGCATTTTAGATCTAGAATTTTTAAAAAAAGATATAGCTTTGTAAATTTCCCTCTTTTTCAAAAAATGATGGTGGGGAGAGCCAATATGAAGAGGCTGTAGTGGGAGATAAATGTTCTAAAGTCAGAGAGTAGTGAGGAAGTAGAATAACAATATGTTTATGGGATGAGGTTTGTTGGTTTTAATTTGCATATCATTTTATGAATTAAGGCCATTTATAATTTGTAAAGGTTCTTTATATATATTTTTTCTTTGATATCTGTTCATGTTTTCTAATTTTCTCTCAAGTTTCTGGTCTTTTCCTTCTTGATATATAAACTTCTTATATATTAAAGAGGTTAGCCCTTTAACTGTGATTTGAATATCAGGTTTTTTTTTTCCAGTTTGTAATTTGTCTCTCAACCTTGCTTATGCTATTATTGTTATTTTTGCCAGGTAGTAGTTTCTGATTTTTTAATTAGTCAAATTTATTAATCTTTTATGGCTTTTAGATTTTGAGTCACAGGTCTTCCCATTCCTTTTTACCCATTCCAAGGTAAGGAAAGAATTCTTCTATATTTTCTTGGAATGCATTTATTTGTTTTTGTTTTTGTTTTGCTCTGTCACCTAGGTGGGAGTGCAGTGGTGCAATCACGGCTCGCTCTGGCCTTGATCTTCTGGGCTCAGCCATTCTCCTGCCTCATATTTTGATTATTTTGTAGAGAGGAGGTCTCACTATGTTGGTCAGGCTGGTCTTAAACTCCTGTGCTTAAGCAATCTGCCTGTCTTGGCCTTCCCAAATGCTGGCATTATAGGTGTGAGCCACTGCCCCTGGACTTTGTAATGCATTTGTGTATTCATATTTTACATTAGTGAAATTATCTTGGCCCACTTGGAATTTATCCTAGTGTACAGAATGAAATATGATTTTTTCTAGATGCTATCCATTTATTGAAGTGTCCATCTTACCCCCATTGACTTGAAATACTGCCTATTTGGGTCTCTTTCTGGGCTTTCTATTTAATTCCATTAGTTTATCTATATTCTTATGGAAATTCCAAAGTACTAATTATTGAGATTCTGTAGTATTTTTTAATATATAGAAGGTTATTCCTTCCTTACTGATCTTTTAAACATAGTTCCTCTGGTAATTCTTGTTTGTTTATATTCTCACATAGACTTTGGAATCAGTTTGTCCCATTCCAGAAAATTGCCAATTAGTGTTTTAATGGACATTGTAATACATTTAAAAATTAGGGGCAGGTACAGTGGCTCATGCCTGTAATTCCAGCACTTTGGGAGGCTGAGGCAGGCAGACAGCTTGAGCTTAGGAGTTTGAGACCAGCCTGGGCAACACAGCAAACCCCATCTCTACAAAAAATACAAAAACTAGCCAGGCCTGGCCGGTGTGCCTGTAGTTCCAGCTATTTGGGAAGCTAAGGTAGGAGGGTTGTTTGGGCCCAGGAGACTGAGGCCACAGGGAGGGAGATCTCATTTAGGCTGAAATTGCGCCGTTGCTCTCCAGCCTTGGCGATAGAGTGAGACTCTGCCTTTAAATAAATAAATAAAATTAAAACTTAGGGAGAATTTACATATATTGACTTTTTCTATCCAAAAACATGGTCTGATTTTCATTTGTTCAAGTCTACTCTTGGGTCCTGCAGGAGTGTTTTAATGTTTTTCTCATGTAAGTTTTGCTTTTTTTTTTTTTCTTTTTGAGATGGAGACTCACTCTGTCCCACAGGCTGGAGTGCAGAGGCATGATCTTGGCTCACTGCCACCTTCACCTCCTGGGTTCAAGGGATTCTCTCACCTCAGCCTCCCAAGTAGCTGGGATTGCAGATGTGCACCCCTACACCGGGCTAATTTTTTGTATTTTTAGGAGAGACAGGATTTCACCATGTTGGTCAGGCTGATCTTGAACTCCTGACCTCAAGTGATTCACTGGCCTTGGCCTCCCAAAGAGGCCAAGCATTTGGGATTACAGGTGTGAGCCACCACGCCCAGCCAGTTTTGTATATTTTTTGTTAAATATCCCTATACACTTTTTGTTGCGATTATGTGGGTCTTTTTCTTCTTTTATTTTGTAAGAGTATTGTTTATCTGTGTGTTTTGTAATACATACACATAATGTGTGTAGGTGTATGTGTGTATATATATATATATATATATGTACACAAACACAATTTTAGTAAATTAATTTTATTTCCTGCTCCCGCACTTAAATTTTTTATTTATTTTTTGAGCTGATATTTTGGGTATACATATATACATACATGTGAGGATATTTATGTATACCAAAAAATCAACCAAAAAATGTATAAATATTAAAAAAATATATATATATATAACTTGATTTTCATATAATATAGAAATGACAACTTTACAATGTTTTTTTCCAATAGTTATAGCTTTACCTTCTGTTTCCTCTAGTTCCTTTGACTGACACTTTCAGTACTACATTAATTAGTAGGGGAATAGTGAGCAACCCTTTTGTCCTCCTGTTGAGCTGAGCAGGAATCCTTCACATTTCCCTGCTAAATTTGAAGCTGGCTTTGAATTTTAAAATTAATTTCTAGTCGGACATTACTACTTTGCTTTATGTGAGAAATGGAAAATTCGTTCAACAGTAAGATCTCTAAATGTCCAACAACAAGGGATTGGTTAAATACATTATGTTAAATTCATTGACTATAACAGAGCATTTACAAAATATGTAGTTTTAATCTTTTTGTCTTTGAAATAAAACCCAAAGTATATGCAAGTATGCATGGAAAAATATCTAGGGGGATATTCAATAAATGGATCTAGGCCAGGTATGGTGGCCAGGAGGTTGCAGTGAGCCAAGATGGGCAGATGGCTTGAATCCAAGAGTTCCAGACCAACCTGCGCAACATGGCAAGACTCTGTCTCTACAAAAGATTAAAAAAAATTAGCCAGGCATGGTGGTGCATGCCTGTAGTGCATGCCTCCTAAAGGTGGAGGTTGCAGTGAGCTGAGATTGCCCCATGCACTCTAGCCTGGGCAACAGAGTAAGATTCTATCTCAAAAGAAAAGTTAAAAAAATGGATCTAAAAGTGATAAGCATATAAACTGGTGACTGGTAACATAAATTGTAACTGATTTATAAAATCTAAAAAAATCCATGATAACATTTTAGCATTATTTAAAAATGTTAGAGATTTATGAAAATTTGGCCAGGTGTTGTGGCTCATTCCTGTAATCTCAGTGCTTTGGGAGGCCAAAACAGGAGGATTGCTCAAGGCAAGGTGTTTGAGACCAGCCTGGGAAACATAGCAAGACTGTCTTTACAAAAAAGAAAAAAAAAATAGCTGGATGTGGTAATATGCACCTACCCAGCTACTCAGGAGGCTGACGTGGGAGGACTGCTTGAGCCCTGGAGCTCAATGTTACAGTGAACTATGCTCACACCATTGCACTCCAGCCTGGGAAACAGATTCTGTCTCTTAAAACAAAACAAGAAAAAAGAGAAAAGAAAGACATGTACAAAATAAGAACTGTGTTCTTTGTTCTAGATCCCTTTCTGTTATTAATTTTTTTCATAATGCAAAAATAAGCCCCTCCTGTTTAATAATGGAATGACCAGTGGTATTTCTCATGTATTCTTTGCAAAATGACATGAAAATGGTAGTGTAGAAAGATGTTTA